ATGGAACCTTCAAAGGAACATGCTCTTAAAAGGAGACCGTCAGTTCAATATATTTCTGTATATTTTCATCATCATCATAGCAACGATAATAATAATTGAAATATAGAATAATAAATGTTGTTCCTGTATATTCGGGGAAAGACTATGCTAGCGTATTCGCATGTTAATTAATCAAATAGGTGTTTTTTGAAAATATAATTACGTTTATTGTTTTGTCGAATGCATATCAATAAATATGAATAAATAAATAGCTAAACAAATAAATGGATCATTATTACTTTTTATTTTATTGTCATCATCATTATTATTATTGTTGTTGTTATTATCATCATCATCATCATCATCATCATCATCATCATCATCATCATCATCATCATCATCATCATCATCATCATCATCATCATCATTATCATCATCATTGCTTCACTGTTATTATTATCAATATCATTATTACTACTATTACTGCTATTATTACTATTATTGATGATGCCACCACCACCACCACTCCTCTCCGTCCTCCCCATCACACACACCCCACCCCCACCCTCTGCCCCCCCTCTCCCTCCTTAAAAAAAAGACCCACAAGCCTGATGAATACCAGCCCCTGATACCGGCATAGTTCACCGCCCGGCTCGGAAATAGCCAAGCCCGGAGCGGCGCTGTGATGCATGTGCTTGGATAACCGGCGGTATGAAGCGATTAACCATCCCGGCCCCGGAGTTATAACCGCCGAGTATTTATTCTTGTTTGGTTTAGAGTGAAACAAACTCCGCCTTAATGGGTAGGGCTGCTCGCGCGCTCCTTCCGTGCTGCTCTTTCTTCGTAGCGTGGCGTGCTAGCGTGTATCTGTTGGGTATTTTTTTTCCCTTTAAAAGAGGTTTATTTAATGTGTATTATTAGTATTATTTTTTAGTATTTGATGATATTCAGTATCATTTTTATTAATATCAGTGTTAGTGTTGTTGTTATTGTATAATTTCTGCAATCAGTATCATTATTGTTATTATTATTATTATTATTATTATTATTATTATTTATATTATTGTTATTATTATCATTATTATTATTATTATTATTATTATTATTTATATTATTGTTATTATTATCTTTAGTACTATCATTGTTATTGTCATTATCATTATTATTATTATTATCATTGTTATTATAATAATAATAATAATAATGCTAATAATTGTAATTATTATTGTTACTACAATTATTGTTAACGTTATTGCTCTTATTATCATTGTTACTATTACCATTATTATTATCATTATTATTATTATTATTATTATTATTATTATTATTATTATTTTCATATCATTATTATTATTATTATTATTATTATTATTGTTATTGTTATTATTATTATTATTATTATTATTATTATTATTATTATTGTTATTGGTATTATTGGTATTATTATCGTCATTATCATTGTTATTATTTTCATACTTATTATTATATTTATTATTATCATAATCATTATCATCATTATTATTTTGTTATTGTCATTGCTATCTTATTGTTATTATTATTATAATTATTATTATCATCATCATCATTATCGTTATCGTTATCATTATCATGGCGATTATCAATCGTCATAGTTATCATGATTATCATTAATATCATTAATATTATATAATTGTTCCGTAAGATGATTTATCTTTAAACGCTCATTAAATCAGTTTGGAGAATTTCTCAGTCGACCTAAGTGTAATGAAAATTGCATATTAATGAATGAGTTTGCGTGTAAATTCCTTAATCACATCATTAATTTCTTCCCATATGTTTTTCGCGTTTTTTTTGTGTCTCTTTTAAAAGATTCAATTATTATTCACTATTTTTGTTTTTTATAGAAGTTGCTATATTTATCTCTTTCTTCCTCTTGTTTTGTTTCTTGTTTATTTATCATTTCGGCCATCCCTTTCTGCACTTTCTCTTTCTCTTCTTCCTCCTCCTCCTCATCCTCGTCCACCTCCACCTCCTCCTCCTCCTCCTCCTCCTCCTCCTCCTCCTCCTCCTCCTCCTCCTCCTCCTCCTCCCCTCTCTCCCCCTTCTCCCCCTTCTCCCCCTTCTCCCCCTCCCCCTCCTCCTCCTCCTCCTCCTCCTCCTCCTCCTCCTCCTCCTCCTCCCCCTCCTCCTCCGCCTTCTCATTCTCATTCTCCTTTTCCTTCTCTTCATCTTCTCCTCCAACTCCTCCTCCTCTTCCTCTCCCTTGCTCGTCCTTTTGTTCTTTTGTTTTGTTATTTTTCTTTAGTCCCTTTTCTATCTCCCCCGCTTCTTCTTTTTTTCTTCCTCTTATCCTCCTTCTCCATCTTGTTATTTCCATTAGAATAAATTAGTTAAATCGCTGTTGGCTTAGGAAATACTTTGGTCAAAAGTTCAGTACGATTTGCGACAAAAATTACTGTAAGATACTGAACTGATAATCTCTTCTTGAGAATTTGCTTCTTTGAAGGTACAAGATTTTAAATAGATATATTGATATATAAGC